CTGTTTTACCGATGAAGTCTAGTATGGGGAGGGGATGCTGGAGTATGGGGAGGGGTGCCTGAGTCCCAGCAGCTGGCTTACCTTCTAAAACCTTGTGTTTGTCCCCTCCTTCCCAGACTCCTCCCAGGAACAGGAAGAAACTAGAACCTTCCACATATTGTTCTTGGAGTAACACGATACAAATTTCAAAGGCATCAGGGGCTGGGCTTGCTTGCTGGTTGGTGAGGCCACTGTGGTGTTCAGCTCAGGCCCTTCCCTTCCCTCCATGTTCTGCCTCCCTCTTCAGCATCAGTAGGGTTAGTCAAGAGCCCAAAATGACTTTCACACTGCCGCCAGGTTCTAGCCCTTTTCCTGCCAAGGATGTCATTTTGCCCTAATGCAGTTGGCTTCAGGTCCCCCACATCTGCCCCTTTACGGCTTTTCTGACTCTGCTCCCGTCATTTACGCTCCCATCGACACACCCCTGGCTGCGCCTTTTCCCTCCTTGGTGTTCCCATCTGCACAGTGGGTTAAGGCTCAGACACACCCACCTCGAGGTCGCGGCCACGTGGACAGGCTTCTGGGTGGGACGCTGGTGGAAGCAGACCTGGGATGGAAGGGGACAGTACTCACGTTATGCCCTTGGTCTTCTTCGACGACGCTGAAGAGTTTCCGTTCAAGAGACTGGGCTCCTTGTTCTGCCGCTTCTTGGTAATTTTGGGAGACGACACAAGGTCCAGCTTGAAGGTGGCAGATCCCTGGGAACCCCCCTTGGTCATAGGCATGGCTGCTTTAGAAAGGGCAAGTTCAGGGTAAGGAGGGGATCTGCACCAGGAGGCGGCAAGTGGGAAGGTGTGGGTGCAGGTGCAAGCAGGCTCAGTGGTTCAGCCTCGGGGCCTGCTCCTGCTAGGCTGGAATGAGACCCCGCCCACCTGCCTGGAGGCCCCACCTCCTGATGCCCTAAGAAGCCCAGGGGAGGAGGAGGAGAGGAAGGAGGGACTTGGGGAGGGTGTCCCGAGCTTTATTGGTATTGCCCAGTCATAGAAAGGACAACTAATGTCCCAGATTTCTTTTTCCTTTTGAGATAGAGTCTCTTGTAACCCAGGCTGGCCTCTAACTCCTATGTTGCTGAGGACGATCTTGAACTTTGGATCCTCCCGGTCTACCTCCTGAGTGCCTGCAGGATATGCTACCACACTATTTTTATGCAGTGCTGCTTTGAGCATGCTAGGCCATATCCCAGTGCTGGTGATTTTAATGACGGGTGTTCAACTGTTTATTAAGTATTCTCCTAAGGGACACTCTCTGGTTTTTCTGTTTTCTCAGTTCTGTACATTAACTAAGGCTTCTGGCAGTAAAGGAGTCTGGCTGAGGTCACAAGCTAACAATGCAATGAGACAAGACTTCAGCCAAGTCTCTCAGGGTTTTATAGTTCAAATATATTTCTGCCTCCAAGAAACCTACACATATGCCCATCTTGGGGCAGCATCCCACATCCCTCTGACCCGCAGTTGCTCTCACACCGCAGTTGCTCTCACACAGGACGAAGTAGGAAACCACCTAGCTTCACCTACCTGCTTGGAGCTTTCTGGCAGTTCCAGGGAAGAACAGGGGCTTCTTAGGGTTTGTATGGATTGTATGGTTCCTGGGAGTGTATTCCTGGGCAGGCCATGGGGCAGGGACAGGGTGTGACTTGCTTAAGGTCACATATGCCATTCAGATTAAAACTGTGAAGCCACTGAAGGCCCCAGAGCTGGGATGCCACTCTGTCATTATCTCTGCTCAGCACAGAGTAGTGAGCCAAACTTCCCTCTTTCCACAAATAACACCATTTGAGCCAAGCCATACCACTCTCCCGACCATCATCTCCTCCTCAAAAAACATTTACTGAGGTCTTACCAAACACCTCACTGCTAACCAGGAGACTCGACACAGACTCTGCCGGGCCCCTCCCTTAGAAAGCTTTCTGAGGTCTCATATGGAATTTTGAATTTGTGATTGTGTGTTATATGTATGTGTCCATGTTCGTGTGGACACAGGTGTGCAGGCATGTGTACATACAGAGGTCAGAAGTGATGTGGGGTCTCCCTCATTTGTTCACCCTGTTTTTCGTTTTTTGAGACAGGGTCTCTCCCTGAATCTAGAGCTCACCGAATCTGCCCAGCAGCTCCAGGTGCCACCTGTCTCTGTATTCTAAGCATGGTCATTTTAAGCACCTATGCAGCTGTCCCCAGCTTGTTACGTGTGTTCTAGGGATCAACCCAGGCTCTCATGCTTACCCAGCAAGTACTTTACCAATGGAGTCATTGCCTCTAAAGGAGTCCTCTCTCCAGCTTCTGGGTTTTGTTTTCTCCCAAATTCCCCTAAAGAAACCTACCATGAACTGATAGGACAGGATGGTTCAGTGGGTGAGAACTCCTGCTTCCAAGCCTGACAACCTAAGTTTGATCTTTGGGACCCACATCGTGGAAGGAAAGAACTGAGTCCTACAAGTTGTCTTCTGACTTCCACATGCTCCACCCTACACATAAATAAATAAATAAATAAATAAATAAATAAATTAATTAATTAATTTAAAATAATTTACAACAACTCCACCTTTAGGCAAAGGCAGGCAGATCTCTGTGATATTGAGGCCAGCCTGGTGTACATTGTGAGTTCCAGGCAGGCCAGCTGGGGCTTCAGGGAGATCCTGTCTCAAAAAGACTATATCTGAGAGGCTCCCCACCTTACTGCTCCTCCCTTTCTCCCCTGTCTACTTCTCTGGGGAGCATCTTACTCCGCTTTCACAGCTATGGGAACTGGAAAACAAAGAGCAGTTTGCCAAAGGTCACAACACACTGTACTAGCCAGTCTCATGCCTGTCTGCTGCCTGCAGCTTTGATCACCACGAAGCCCCTGGGTTTAAACACTGGGATGGCTCTGCCCTTCCGGTTCTTGTCCCGAGTCCACTGTGACACTGGCTGTGGTTTCTTCCCTTGTCTGGCACTGTGACACAGGGCTATTCCTGGCCTGTGGAGTAGCAGGCTGTCTTCTGAGACCTGCAATTGAAATTCTAGGGTTTGAGTCTAATCTTAGATTTCATCTCACTGATAGAACTGGGTGCCCTCCAGGCAGTGAGATCCCTAAAGTCAGGAGCTTAAGAGGTTTGGAGAGGAAATCAATCATTTTTTATTCCTCTCCAGGTTGATAGAGAAGAACCTAGAGTCAATCTTCAAACTTTTGGACAGGGGTGACCACAATCTGTGTTTGGCTGGGGCCCTTTCTGGGCAAGAGTAGCCTTGTTGGGAGGGGTGGAGCTACAGACTGCCAACCTGAGGTACCACTAGCAGTGCCAGGAGGTTTCTCCCAAAGAGTGGGGATGCCAACGGAAGCCACCTGGAGTCGGGCACCTGGAGAGCTGGGTTCCACTGGCTCCATGACCCTCCCTCTCTGAGCCTCGTTTTCTCTTTCTGTAGTGGATTAGACTGTAAGTGATTTCCAAAGGCCTGAGGGACCTGCGGGGAAGAAGGGGGTGCTCTGTGAAGCTGGGCTGTGGGCCTAGTTCTTTGTGGAGCACGTGCACCCTGTATGAGAATAGCATGCTCACCCGGGAAGAAGGGGGTGCTCTGTGAAGCTGGGCTGTGGGCCTAGTTCTTTGTGGAGCACGTGCACCCTGTATGAGAATAGTGTGCTCACCCTCTGTAGAGGGTGCTGGGGGACAAACAGAACTTGGTCACATTAAAAAAAAAGTGTATGTATCCAGGAATGTGCCATGGCACACATGTGTAGGTCAGAGGACAACTTGTGTGAGTCAGTTCCTTCCTTCCACCATGGAAGTTCTGGGGAGCAAACTCACATCTTCAGGCTTGCTGGCAGGGCCTTTACCCTCTGAGCCATCATCTTGCTGGCCCCAAATGCAACTTAAATAATGGTATTTGAAGGTTAGAGAGCCCTGGTCCTTTCGTTCTTGTGTGGGTGTTTAAAACTTGGGGTGTGGGATGTACTGAATATTCAGGGGAGCTATTAAGGAACTCAGGGATAGAGGCCTGAAGGGGCTTGGGATCTGGGCTGTGTCTGTCAGTTCATCAGGAAGTTCCAAACCTGGCCACATGTGAGTTCCACTGTTCTGCAGGCAAGAGGCGTCACTTTCCCTTTTAAAACTGACAGGCTTGTACATCTTCACGTGCGAAGTGTGGGGCATTGGGACGTTGGTAGAGTGCACATTGATTAACTCAGGGTATTTAGATTATTCCTCATTTCAAACGTGTTATTTGTTTGTGACAAGACATTGCTGTTTCAACATGACTAAGCACAAACCACCTTCTGTGTAACAGATCCAGAGTGTGTTCTGTCTGACTGGAGGAACTTTGACACCTGTCAAGCACTCTCTCCTTGTCCCCTCTCCCCTCACTTCCATCAACTTCTATTCTGATCTCTATGAGCTCAGCTTTTTAAAGATCCCACAGATGTGTGAAACTGTGCGGTATTTATCTTTCTGCGTCTGACTTCTTTTACTTAGACTTAGATCTTGTTACAAATGACAAGATTCTATCCCTTTTAATGACTGAATGGTATTCTACAATATTTTTGTGCCATATATTTAATGTATTTATTTATTTTTATTATGTGTAAGAGTGTTCTGTCTGCATGTATATAAGTGCACTATGTGCATGCAATGCTCACAGAGGCCAGAAGAGAGCATTGGTAACCATTTAGTGAGTGCTAGGAACTGAACCCCAAACCTAGGTCCTCTGCAAGAGTAACCAATGCTCATAACTACTGAGCCATCTCTCCAGCCCCATGCTCCCCCCGACAATATGTGTGTGTATTTTAATCTTTCCATTCTTCGAAAGATACCTTACTTGACTCCATATCTTGCCTATTGTGAATGGTGCTGCAATAAATAACTTTTTAATGAATCAGAAGACAGCGGTGAAAAGTTGGAAAGTGACTTACCTGGGGCCATAATGTGGTCCAAATGAATGTCAGTACTCCTTTGGGCTGGAAGTTGGTGAGTCCTATCTCCTCTGCTTTCCTCTAGGCATGTCCTCATCCCCTGTGGCTGACTGGCTGAGCATCGGCTTCTCTGTCAGTGCACCTGAATAACAGCAATAATCCCTCGGATTAGCTTTTACCCTCTGCCCCAAGCACTAGACCAGTATAGGAGGTAGGTACTATCATTACCCCATTTGACAGATGAGGAAACCGAGTCTCAGAGGAGTCATTTTATGGTTAAAAGTGGGTTGTTTTTTAAAGAGTGATTCTATAGTAGTGTCAATGGGGCAGAGACAATTCCACACCCTGCTGCTGCCAGGAGTAGCTTGAGGAGTTCTTTACAGAGACTCCTGCCTACCTTCCCACCCCGCCCCTAGCCCAGGCAAAGCCAAGATCCAGTGCCTTTGAAGATGAAGCAGAGTTTGTTAAGAATAGAGAGAAAGGCCGGCATGGTGGCAGCAGTTGGAGGCAGAGGCAGGCAGATCTCTGTGAGTTCCAGGCCAGCCTGGTCTACATAGTGAGTTCCAGGACAGCTGGAACTTTTCTCAAAAAAAAAAAGCCCCCCACCAAAAGACAGAAAGAAATTTGGTCTGAAGGTTAAAGAAAGAATAGAGAGAAAGGGGCCAGGAAAGAAAAAAGCACCAGTGGGGCCTCCACGGAGAGTCACAATTAAGTCTCTTTACAATGGCTAAGTTAGGATTTTGGAGGCGCTCAAGTTATATCTCCAAAGGTTGCTAAACACCCCCTCCCCATGCTTTTTAAATATCAAAAGCACTTTTTGTTTGTTTTGAGACAGGGTCTCCCTGTAGCCCCAGCTGGCCTAGAACTTATGTAGACCAGGCTGGCCTTGAACTCACAGAGATCCAACTGCTTCTGCCTCCTGTGTGCTGGGACTAGTGTGTATTTTCTTTTTTAAACAAGGTTTTGAGGAAAACTTAAGAATGGTATTGTTTAGACTTAGGAAAAGGCTAGAAACCCAAGGTTACATGCCATTTAGGCCCTAAGTAAGCATAGTGTGCTTACTGTCTTTGACAAGACGTCTTTTGGAAAACAATATATTGTCTACATGGGCAGTTTGGGCTTTGGTGGTGGTGTCTGACGTTCCCTGACTTCAGAGAGCTCTTTCCTTTCTTAGGCTTCCCTTCCCAGCACATGACTTCCGCTGGCTTTCAAGCCTGCTTATGTGGGGCTGGAGTTGTGACACAGCTCCGCTCCCTTGAACTTCAAGCTTTATTGCCCTCCCCCCGCCCCCCGGGGAGTCTTGAAATGCAGCAGAAGGGGAAGACAGACTCATTCCTTAAGTTAATATCAACCACATCTCCACCTGCCAAATCTTAACCTGGGACTGTCATCCTCTGGAACTGCAAGAAAATAAAAGCTTGTCGTGCAATCCATCCAGCCTATGGCATTTTGTCACCCGGCTGCAGCAGACCAAGCCCTGGGTACCTGGTTTTGTTTACCACCTTCTTTCCAGTTCTTGCTAGTTTCTGAGGAGAGCTCTCTTCCTGG